ACGGGTTGCAGTGGCAGGAAGAAGGATTCACTCTGTGTCCTATTAATTTTTCAAAATGAAACATCTTCTCTTCAGATTTCAGGCCCTGCCACCCAGCTACACCTGCTCTGCTCCTTCACTGAACAAACAACCAGGCACACCAGGCATCTCCCCATGAACTGCACTGTCAGGTTGGAGAAGAGGAACAAGCCAGAACTGCAGAATCCAAATTCTCCCCATGAATATATATATGAATGCAACTATATGCCTTAAAAGATTAATTTTACATGCCTTAAATTGCAGTTTAATTTGAAAACTAATTCAGCCTCATAATTGGCTTTCTGCTCAAATCACTGAGGCTAAAGATTTAAATTCTTAATATTCAGATGACTTTCGAGTTTCTGGCCCCATCTGTGCATTAGTCCATGGTGTTAATCTCTGAGGGAATCTCTGCTGGCATAGAAATAAAATAAACAAACTGGGACACTAGTAAAATAATCAGCTTTTAAAATCCTTGGGTTTTTTTATATACTGCTTATTTTTTATGAGTTTTCTTTAACTCGATTTGCCACATATAGATTTGTCTCCCAGCTATTTCATTTTTCACGTGGCATGTTATCAACAATTATTCTCTCAGAGTTCCATGGACTCAGGAGGAGAGGGAGAAATTTTAAATTACAACATTTCTCATGTAAGAAATACTAATATTCCTTTATTTTGGAGGACTCTCTATACTCAGCACTCTTTCACACCATTCCTAAGAAGGGTGGTAGGAGTAAACTGTCCTACACAACTCCAGGAGAATGAAGGGGCTGGATAGAGTTTAAAAGAAGTCACTTGGGCTTGTGCTATTGACTTGAAAAGGGACAGAGATGCATCCAGAGAGTTAGTGAAGTGGAAAGGATGAATGGGAATGGAAAAGGCCAGTCTGACAGGAACAAATTGTTTTGAAGAGATGAGTTAATTTTTGACAATCTTTCTGTTAAAACAAAATAGATACAACCCAGAGCAAAGCACTCAAGTCGCTGTAGAGCATTTCACGTTGACCTTTTCAGAACTGAACGCTTCAGTTAAGTGAGACATCCACATCCTTCCACAAGGAAGGGTCTGCTGTGGTTACAGCAAAACTAAGCTTCTAAAAAAATAATCCTTCTCCATCCCACTACTGTTTTGTGATTAAATTTCCTTTATTCTTTCATATTTAAGCATTTTCATGCCGTCTTATTGAGTAATTTTTGAAACTGTAGGAGTTTCTCCCAAAATGGGATCCTGCAAGTACAACTTCAGGGGCTGTGCTCACAGCAGGCAGCAACTGCTGCTGTGCGAGGGGAAAACCCCACTCCAAGCCCCAGTTCCTTCCTGCTGTAAGGAGCTGGTGTGATGCAGCTCAGAGATGTGGGCATGGAAAGGCAGCAGCAGCCAGCAGGGCAGGCAGTGCTGGGCAGCCCAGCTCTGCACCCACCCCGCTCTGCCAGCGCTTGAAAGGCAGCGCAGCTCCAGGAGAGCTCTGCTGATTAAGGCTGCCAGAGGGAGCAGGGGAATTTCAGCTCCAGCTTGCAGCTGCATTTTTAAAACTTGGCTGTGTTCTTCACACAGAGGCAAAGTTCAAAGAGGCAGAACATTATTCAACATGAGTAAAATACGGTCTTTTAAGATACACTTTCAAACAGCGGCGCATTAAATCAAAACAACGCGTGGAGGGGGAGAGTGAGGAAGAAAGATGGTCCTGTGGAAAAGGAAATCCTGCATCACTACTCCTGTTCTGCATTTTTGGAAGGGTCTGCTTTTACACATTTTAAATTGCCCAGCTACTTGACCTGAGGCTAGATAAGCTAGAAATGCATTAGACTGTTTACCCAGAGAATATCAGAAAAGGAAAGAGATGTTTAAGAGCCAGCACATCTGAGGATGTCCAGGGGCCAGTTCTCACTACAGAGAACTTCACCAAGAGTGAGCTCCTGATTTCAAGAACACTATGCTATGGCTCAAGACACTATTTCAATTAAGTCATTATAATCTTAACCAGCAACAACAACCTATTATAATTAATAATACTTAATGATTTAGTTTCTATTCCTATCAAGGGTTGCCTCAAGGTGACTTGCAGAGAGCACGCTCCTTGGGAGCCCAGGCTGAGTGCTCTGCAGGCTGGGAAGCCCCTTCACTTAAACCCCATCAGACTGTCTAATGAGTCTCTTCACATCGCTGCCAACTCTGCCAGCTCTTGGACAATTTTGTGTATTTGCATTCCAGGCTAAAGCAAACTTGCTCCTGCGGGAGGCTGAGTGCCCAGCAGTGTCACACGGAACACGCTCCTTCTGCATTCCCTTTCTTTGGTTCACTCTGCCCACTTTTGGCTTGTCCACTGTCAGGTCAGTAGGTCACACCTCAAGGTCAGAGTGCCCTGCTCAGCCTCTGCTCAACAGCTCACTTGTGATGGTCTTGCTCTGCAAAATTTCCATGGGTAGAGCTTGAGCTCCATATATATTTTTTTTTAAATTTTATTTATTTATTTTTTTTTTAATTAAATCTAGGCAAAATTCTGACTGACTTCAAACAGCCATTGGCTGCTCATTCTATCTGCCCTCAGAGCCAGCATTTATTTGGGATAGTCTAATATCTCTCATCAGAGGTGTGCAAAATTAAGAACATTGCAGATACTGTCATAATCAAGTAATCCTGCATTTTTTAATCACAGCCATTATAAATGGGCATATGGAAGATGTGAGAAATAACAATTGCACAGGATATTCAGGGAAGCATTTTCAGTCCTCAGGCATAGTTCAGCAGAGGAAAATTAATGCTGAACTCCTGTAACATATAACAAGATTTTTTTGGTTTGCTTGAAGCATGGATATTCACACATATGCAGATATATTTTTATAGATGCATACACGTATCTAACTTACTGTTGAATCAGTACTGAACAAATTTTGCTGTTACCTCAAAGAATATGCAGTGTCTTTCATTTCTCAACCACTGCCAGAAATAATCATGAATTCTGGTAACATATTTCTTCTCTTGCAATGGCTGGTGTGGTACCCCGCTCAGTTGTTACAATATTCGGCGGCATCTTCACACCAATAAAAAGTTTCTAAATATTTCCAAGATCTACCTTTAGCTAAATACATTGTCTACACTTGTCTCTGCACAGAAGAGGGACACATAATTTTGAGGCAAAGGAGGAGCATGCCAATATTCCCTTTAACTCCGAGACCTCTCCATCACTTCCTCAAAGACACAAGATCATGTTTCTTGCCAAGCACACAGAATGAGGGCCTCTGATACCCAAATTCCTAGGAGGCTCAACAAAAGCAAGGAAGAGAAATTCAATACTAATATAAACCTTTAAAAGAATACCGATTAAACAGGAAAGAGAGGAAAAAAAAAAACCCGACAAATACATCAAAGACAAATGTAATTGCTTTTGAATAAGAACAGATTGCTTTCTACCTTCCTGCCTTAAAGGCAAGCACTCCAGCCTGGGATAGAGAATACCAAAAAACACTGCTAGAAGCAGAGACACAAGTATTTTGTAGGCAAATTATCCTGTTCTATTTAATAGCTCAAAGGCTTATCTGGATTTCAGACAAGAAGAGGATGCAATTTACTGCTTCTTTGACAGATGAACAGAGCTAGTTAAAACATTTGGGAACACTTTGAATATTGATCTGTCCTCAAATAAGATGTAAGAAGTTTGATTTGCTATGGAAATGTTGTATCAATCTTCAAACCTTTATATGCCCCAAAGTGGCCTTCAAATGAAAGCTGGAAAAATTCTCTGGGAAGATATCAGAGCTGTCAGCTCAGGGACTTCTCACACTCCCTCCTCCATGCAGAACCAGGATCAGGACTTTGAAGCTGGGACATCACCACTCAAAGGAATCAGAAAGGGAGCTGTAGCTATTCTTTGCTCAGAAATAATGTCATGTTCTGTCCCCACCACGTGTCCCCCACGGCTGCCTGTCCCTCTCGGTGCTGGAAGACAATCAATCAGGACTGCGAATCACCTTGTTAAAAACAGTGCCCACTGGAGACTTCCCTGTCACACCTCCGGCAGCGGAGCCACCAGTGATGAATGTTTGCTGACACAAACCAAAGTCACGGGGTGTTTAACCCCTCAGCTGGCAAACAACCAAGGAGAGAATCTAGGAAAAAACTCCCTCTGATTTCAGGAGGCTTCCAATTGTACTGGCGACACAGAACAATTTATGTTCAAAGAATGGATACGTTCATTGTAGTTACACGCAGCAATGAGCTGAACCAACCCTGCTCCCATACTGGAAACTGCAGGGTTACACCACACTTAAATAACAGATCAACAGAAATAGAACATTAAAGACCTTTACAGCTGTTTCTTCCAAGCAGATAAATGTGGTCATGTAGAAATCATCACTATTCCCCATACAGCCTACACCCTCACCGATTTTTCACCCATAAATTTCCTGAAATTTGACTTCAGGTTTTTCCCCATTTTACCCACTTTACGTAGAAAAGTTTGTGGGGACAGCAGATGAGCCTGCAATTTCAATGTGAATATTCCCACTTCTGCAGGTTTCCATCAGGTCCCAAGTAAGTAAGTGTTTTTTTGAGACAGAGCCTTCTTTGGAGCCTGACTGGATGCCAGATATTGAGTTGGCAAATGACTGAATTAAATATCAAGGAGGAGGATATTGAGCATTTGAGACGCAGGGTCAGGGAAAGGCCACAGCCAGGCTGGCTTTCAGTGCTCGTAATTAGAATAACAGCCCTGTACATGTGCAGTGAGTGCATGAGAATGGTGCTACAGAGCATTACCCTACAAAACTGCTGCTTTTACAAATCCTACAGCCAGGAAGGGACCACCAGGACCCAGAAAAAGAGACACAGTAGGATTGTTCTCAGCTCCATCAGTCTTCCACCAACAGCCAGCAAGAGCAAACCTCTCCCTCGTCCCCTGTGTTCCCAGCAGAACCCAAACCATGACCCCAGGTGAATGGCAGAAAATCTGTGAAACTTTGAGACTTTTTTGTCAACTGTACCTGGTTTAGAGCCTTCATCAACAGATCCATTATAGACTTGGTTGATGAACTCCGGCCTGTTGTCATTCATATCAATCACATAGATGTAAAGGTCAATGGGATTCTCCACCTTGTTTCCATTCATATCCACCGCATGAGCCCGGAGCTGGGAATGAGCACAATGAAAGCACAATATCAGCAACTGGATTTGTTGCAGAATGAGAGACTGTTTCGCAAAGATTGACTTTACATCATAAAGACTTTCTCAAAATTGAATGGAGACAATATCTAATTCCAGCAGAATGCACTGACATCGTTTCCATCTACACTCGACTCACAGACAGTTTTTCAGAGCTTAATATAATATTGAAATAAGGTTTTGAAACAGGGATTGTCAGTGGAAACTCTTCAACTCTGGTGTAGTGATGCTATCCTATCCCCTTCACAACTCACAGACCACTCTATTTAATTTTTAAGACATCTTGAACCTCATCTGACAATCTGAAAAGCAAATTTTGCTTAGTTCCAAATAAAGTGAGGAAATGATTTTGAGTGAGAAGTTTCTTATGGGAACCTGCAGCGTTTCACACCCATAATACTGGGGATTAGCAAGTGAAGAGATTTCAGCATGATCTTAGTAATGTTTATTCTCTGTTTAATCATGGTCTCCAGGATCAGCAACAGCTATCAACCCCATTGCTCTGCACAGTAAAAGGCATTCAAAAAGTCCCTTTCCTTCAAATAACGGGAGCCCCCATGGCACTAAGAATGCAATTTCCTCAGGCTTGAATAAAATACCCAGTGCTGAGGCATTTCAATAACTAGAGCCACAGTGTTAAGCCCTCAGTTAAACTGGAACTGCAGTTTTATCTTATTAGCAATAACCATCAGTAATAATGCCCAGAAACAAGAGCATCTGTTTTCTGAACAAAAGAGACAGATACAGCATGTCAAAATGAGTAATTAATAAAACAAAGCAATCACAATAGTCTGGAACAATCAGTAACCAGGTGAAAAAAAAATGGATAGCTTTCTCATTAAAGGAACAGATGGCTACTCTAAATGGTGTGTGGCTGAACGGGAGAACTCCGACAGCGAGGGAAGAGCTGAACGCCCCGACCCGGCTGGCAGAGGGGAGGCACTGCCTGGCTCTGAGTGCTGCAGAGCTTTGGCCACCATCCCTCTTCCTTTCAGCCCCTGTGAGCACTGCTGAGCCTCCACCCCGCCATGGGAACTGGGGATGGCACTGGGGTTGGTGTGACATCCCACAGGGCTGGCGGGCTGAGGAGCCAAAGCTTCAGGGATGTCATTTCACAGAGCCACAGGATCACACAATGGACTGGGCTGGAAAAGACCTTAAAGCTCATCTAGTTCCGACCCTCTGTCACAGGCAGGGAACCTTCCACCAGACCAGGGTGCTCCAAGCTCCACCCAACCTGTGCTTGAACACTTGCAGGGGTGGAACAGCCACAGCTCCTCTGGGCAACCTGTTCGTGCCAGGGCTGGCTGGGAGAGTGGGGCTGGAGGACAGGGGACACACCAGCTCTGCCATCCATGGATGGAGGCCTCTGGTCCCTCCCAGCACTTCCCTACACCATCAGGCTGCTGCTGGGAGTCAGAGCTGACTTTACAGGGAGGTCCCGGGCTCCTCTGATGCATGACAAATAATGTGCTAATTGCATTAGCCCTGGTTTCTGTCTTTCACTCTCACTGTGCTGGTGATTGATGCAACTTTTCCCTTCATGTATGGTGCTCAGAAGTCCAGACCTTAACAAAAGTAACTGCACACTGTTAGGATGGGCTGGATTAACATTTAATCAAGCAAAGAGAACAAACTGCCACATGAAATGAGCTGGGAGAAAAACACTCTTTTTTTTTTTTTTTTTTTTTTTTTTTTTTTTTTTTTTTCCGAAGGAAATTAAGCAGCACGTTTTCTTTAAAGCCTGAAGAAGTCCAGCTCTGCTTTCAATACAGGGTGTACCATTTGTGTTTCATGACTTGCAATGCTCTTAATATCTGCATTTCTTTCCTACATAGGAACTGCTTTGGCTCCCACCTGTTGAGCTAGCCTTCATCATGTCAGATGTAGCAATTCAATAACTTTACAGTCAGAGGTCAGACTGTCTTTGAAAAAAAGTAATTCAGAGCTAAAATTAAAGTTATTATCTTCAAACTGAGGCAGCACTGGGCTCTCTCTTACAGCATTTCCAGCAGCGGAAATGGTTCCATTCAGAGATAAAGCAGAGAGCAAAGCTGGTATCTCCCCCCTCAGATCTGACTCTCCCCCTGCAAATTTTTAATTACATTCGATAGCTTTTGTTTGAAATCTCCAGGAGTAAGGGATTTCTCAGCAATGCACATCTATCTGCTTGTTGCACTCACTGAGCACATGTACCCATCAGCGCATTACTGCCTGCACTCAAGGCAAAAAAAATTCAATAAGCAAGACTGCAGGAATCTCCTCAGACCTGTGCTTACATGCTCAAGTGTCCTGAGCCCAGCTCCAGCACTGGGCTAAGCTACAGGAGGCAGGGCAGTGCTGGGCACAGCGGGGTGGTCACTGCTGTCCTGACTCAGCATCTGCAGTGCCAGGAAGGTGACATCCTCTCTCCTGCTCCTTTTTTTGGCCTGGCTTCAGTGAACATTTCTACTTGTTTCCTTTTGTGCTTCTTTGCATTAATTTTCTGTGCCCGTACTCTCTGAACAACTCTCATGAGCCAAAGTCTCTGCATCTCCCACAACACGTCGCTCCTCTGTGGTCAGTGCCAGCCCTGGCAAAGGGGAAGGGAGTCCTGAGGCACAGGGCTGAATTTCAACTCAATGGGAACTCTTCCTGCTACAAACCATTCCTTGTTAAGAGACAATTCCTCACTGGAGACCATCCTCAGCAGAGAGAGCCAAGGGAGGAGGGACTCCAGGGCATCAATCTGTCTGCTGGGAACCTGGCTGGATCTCCAAGGCAGGTCTATACTACATTTCCCTTAATTCATCTTCTCCCTCATTCTCTTGTCCTACTTTTGGTATTCATGAGGCATCCTCAAGCTGGACAACACACTTTGTTCTGGAGCCATTCCTCAAGGGCTGAGATGGGGCTCATTTCTGCAAGGCACTTTTCTGCGTGGTGCTCTGCGGCCACTTGTGACCAAGCCACCTCTGCCACCTCTATTTTGGTGTTAAAGTGATGGAGGGGATGAAAAGCAGATGCATGGGAGTGCTTTGTAGCACTGGGCAAGGAAAAAAGGTGATGGTTGAGCTCCATCAGACACACACATCATTTTGAGCTGGAAAATACACCAGTGAAAGGTCAGTGAGCATCACCTGGGCCACAGGTCAGATGCCAGACATGGGGCATGCACAAGTATTCAAATGGGAGCTGGAGGGTGGCTGAAGAGACAGTTAAGAAACATTTATAAAGTTAGTTTGAAATATTTACATTTTTTCCAAGAGGGAGAACATGACAGGAGTGAAGAAGGAATAAAATCAAATTAAATACCTTGCAAAGGATTCTAAAAAATTAATACACATAGCCAACTAATCTCTAGCTGATGCATCACTCTGCTGTACCAGCCAAGGAGCTTAAATATTCTTTAACAAATATTGTTTAAAAGTGTGACAATTATTGCTATCATATGCAGCAGCAGCTACCACAGGTCTCTGAGGTTTTCCTGCTGACAGTTTCCAGTGTAAATGTAGCTGTTGGCATACAAATGATTTGGTATCATGATTATTGATTACACTGGAGGCTGGTGGTATCTAAAGGTAGTTAGTCAAAGTCAACACAGTGAATTGTGTTAAATATGAATATTACTTAGGCACTAATACTACTAATACAAATATACATTATCAATCAGTGACAGAGCCTTTAAGCAATAAGCATACAATGTCATGCCTAATTTGTGTGCTCTTAATTGTGATTAAAAGTTCAATTTAGAGCATTGTGACACAAATGGCTGGCATTATTCAACATGGTTCAAAATACTGGAATTAGCTCTTGTATCCCTTAATTTGCAGTAAAATAGTTTTGTTCCTTTGCATTTAAAATGACTCTTTGTCAGTCTGTAACCCACCTGTTCTGCTCCAGCCACTTCTGAGGGAGTATTTCATCAGCCTGAAGCTGACAGTGCACACATGTGTCTGGAACTGGATTAGGACTTGCTTCAAAGTTTCCCTATAATGCATATTACTTGAGTGTCATAAGCAATGATTACTTACTGACATGTTTATGCTGATGTCTTTTGAAAACAGAGCTTGAAAAACGTCTTGGAAAACGAAGCTACCAATTTTCTATCCCTTGTACTTGCCAGGCCTAACTGCAGCTTAATATGAAACTGGTGTCTGGATCAGAAAAGACATTCAGAGACACTAATTCTGTCAGCAGCACAAATGGGACTTGGGGAGTGCAGCTAAATAAGGCCAAGAGAACTCATGCATATTAAATATTGCTACCTGCTGAAACTTCCTGGGCAGGCAGTGAGCACTTCAGGGCTGAATGCAAGGGGAGATGCAGCACATCTGCCACAGTGAGATGGCAGAGAAATGTGGGGAATGGGTCCCATGGCTGCGTGTCCCATGGCTGTCTGTCCTGAAGATTGTGTCCATGGCTCTGTGTCCATGTCTGTGTCTCCATGGCTGTGTGTCCCATGGCTCTGTGTCCCATGCCTGTGTGTCCCCTGGCAATAATGACACCAGGGTGGCTCCCAGGGCATCACTCAATGCCACCTGTGCAGTTCCACACCACAGTGTGGGGTTGATTAAATGATTGCAGAGCCCTTTTTGCTTTTCTCTGCTGGTATTTTCAGCTGACTCTGTCTAGGATGTCTGTGAGGTCCCTGGAGAGTTTGTGCTCTGGTTTGGAGTGCAGACACAAACAGATGAGGCCAAAATGCAGCTGAACTTGCCATCACCAGCACACACAGCACCTGGGCAGGGGCTGTGAGTCCCAGAGGCACATACATCTCTGCATAACTCAAACTCGGAATGAGCCTCCCTAAAAGTTCAAGAATGATCACAAAAACAGGGGAAGTTCTGCTGCAGAACTCCTGATCTAATTAGAAAAAAATCTATTTCACCTTAGGGAACGAGGCAGGTTTCATCAGACAAATGGCTTGCTGAATGCAGGGAGTGTTAAAACACTAGTACTTTAAAAATGGTAGTCCTGAAGCAACACAGATAATTATGCATAAGAAAATATGTGTTGAAAATGTGTGAGTTAATGAAACAGAACTCTTGATATGTAGCCTTACAAAGACTTGCAAATTATTGTTCTTTCTTTTATAATTAGTTTTTAGATTACCTGGGAACAAAAGCAGTGAGGACAACACTTGAGAGTGACAGAGATGCTGAAAAGATTTGGTTTTTTTGGGGGGCTGCAGAAAACCTGAAGCTGTGTAAATGCACCCACATTCAGCTGGAACACGAGGCTGCATCAGACACAGAACCCACGCCCTGCTGGGTCAGAGGGACCAGTGGTGCCTTGCAGCTCCACTGACATTCTCCGGCCCAGCTGAAGGGCAAAGCTACTCCTTCAAGCTGAAGGAAACTACAGCAGATATCAAACAAGTTTAAAGGGTGCCAAGCTCCCAGTTCACATCCAAGCTACACCTCAGTCACTGCTCTTCCAGCACTCAGCTCAAACCTGGCTACAGGTTGCCTTTCCTATCAGCTAGAGACTGGGCTCTGTGAAGTGGCATAAATTCATTGACTTCTTCAAACCCTCCTCTAGCCAAGACTTTGGAATTTATTTTCTTTCTGGAAATTGGCCAATTTTTTTCTCATTTCCAGCACTGTTCATTCCTACTGTAAGTTTTTGCTGCAGTGTTTGGGTCATTGCTTTGTGCATGGTGTATTTATAGAGGTTTTGTAAAGGGTTAGTAAATGGATAATTAATGGTTTAAGAAATCATCAATCCATTGCTACTGAGGCTGAAGGATCTAAAGGTAATTTACAGACACACCTTAAAATGTTCTTCATCACCTTCTACTATTCTCCTAACAAAGATTTTTCTATCATTCAGTATTCCTGTCTATAAGGTCTCATAAAATACTTATCAGTTATTCTCTCTACAAAATACATCTCCCTGTAACCTATGAATATGTTTATTTACATATGGATGCCACTAGTTCAAGGTTTCCATGAGGAACAGCAAAGGCTGGAAATGCTGTGGTATGTGCAAAGCAGATTCATCCCATCACCTTTGACAAGGCAAGAATTCAATTTGCTGAATTCACTGTGACTGGTAGGTTTAGTTCATTTTTAAGGGGCACAGGGTTTGTTAGGATGGAGGACAAAATCTGTTTCATCTCATGTTTTTGACTGTGAGTGTCTGATCACAGACATCACAGCGGCTCCATCAAAAGTCTTAACTTTTTTATTATTGACTAGACTGTTATAATAACCTGGCACTGCTGAAATAATATCAACAACACTGAGATGACACACACTTTATCTCAAATGTTTCTTCACCAAAACAACCTCTTTTCATATTTTCCTAGGCACAACAAACAAAATAATTGTTCTTGTTCACAGAGTATAAAATAATTTTTCTTCAGATCTCCTTTTACCCAGGGGAAATCTCTTTTTCCACCCAACTAAAGAGGTAATCTATTTTCTTTATCTTTCCACCTCAGCCCAGAAGCTGTGTCAACATGGCTAACTGGATACCTGATAAAGCTGACAGAATGTGCATCTCCGGCGGCGCAGTTCGGGATGTGGTGTCACTGCAAGTGACCCGTGCGCTGCGCTGACATTACAGCATCCCTGGCAAGGGCTATTACCACGCCAGGAGATGGGCTAAGGCTGATAGCAAGCCATGAAACAACCTTTCACAACCACTCCAGCAGACAACTAGAGCGCAGATGCAGAACATTTTTGAAATTTTGCAGGGCTATCATGCAAGGGGCAACCCATTCTTTTAGCAATTTGTGTGGGACTGGATCTGCTGTGCAATTACACAGTGCAATAGAGGAGCTGGGATTTATATCAAAACACAGCAATCAATTACACTGTGAGCATTCTGCAGGTAGAGCATTTTATGAACTAGGATAGCATGAGGCACCATCACTTTTGAGTGTAATTAATCTTAATTAATTCCTTGATATTTAATATTAGCCTATCTGTGTATTTAAAAACCTATCTGACACACCCCCATCATACTGCCTGAACATCTCCTGGTGAATTAAAGTGAAAAATGACTATAGCAATTATTGCATGTTTAGATGCAGTAATGATTCTTAAATTAGTAATTTCCCAAGACATGCTAATGTAGTGACTAGCTTCTCATGGTTTTGGGTGGTTCAGTCTACACATAAATTTGCATGGATTTAACAAGCAGTGTGAAGTTGCACCATTTTAAACAAATGACTCTGTGTCTGAAAAAGACATCAGTTTATCTCCACTTTCATATAATCACAGAACTGTTTAGGTTGGAAAAGTCCTCTCAGATCAAGTCCAACTGTTCCCCCAGCACTGCTAAGCCCATCACTCAACCATGTCCACAAGTACCACATCTACATGGCTTTTAAATCTATCCAGGGATGGTAACTTCACCACTGCCCTGGGCAGCCTGTGCCAGGGCTGGACAGCCCTTTTGGTGAAGAAATTTTTCCTGACATCCAACCTTAATCTCTCCTGGCACAACTTGAGGCCATTTCCTCTTGTTCTGTCACTTGTTACTTGGGAGAAGAGAACAACCCCCATGTGGCTACAACCTCCTTCCAGGGAGTCATAGAGTGATGGGGTCTTCCCCGAGCCTCCTTTTCTCCAGGCTGAACCCCCCACAGCTCCTTCAGCTCTTCAAACTCACTCTCTTCACCCTTCTCCAGCTCTGCCACCCTTCCCTGGACATGCTCAATGTTCTTCTTGTGGTGAGGGGCCCAAAACTGACCCCAGATTTACAGAGTGGCCTCACCAGTGCCTAGCACAGGGGGACAATCACTGCCCTGGTCCTGCTGGCCACACTACAGCTGATACAGGCCAGGTGCCATTGGCCTTCCTGGCCACAGCTGGCCCACGTTCAGCTGCCACCAACCAGCACTTTTGCATGGGTTTGGCTGATCTAGCGTGTCCCTTCTTAAACCCAGCAATTCTGCTCTGAGCTCGTGAGCCCAGCTGAAGGTCAGGATGTTGGATGCTCACATGGTAGGAAGCTCTTTCCTCCCTGTCCATCGGGCGTGTCACGTACATCCTGCCAGACACAGGGTCGATGTTGAAGACCTCCATGGGCGGCTGGTCGGCTCCCACTCCAGTGATGCTGTACCTGATATGGATCTCCTTGTCCTTATCGGAACGGATCTGGAGGAAATAACAGAGACAAGAATCCATAAGTTCTGGACAAAAGCCATATGGATGTTTAAGCAACTTTAAAAGATCTGAGCCTTGAAGGCTGCAGAGATGTAATACCACTGTCAGTCCTGACAAGGGAGCTGAATGCCAAAGATTTGGTGAAAAGCCATGAAAAGTACATTCCACACAGTTTCAGCTATTTTGCTCCTTTTTAATTCATGAGAAATCATTGAAATTGTGACTTTTCAACTGAGATGTGGAAGAACCTAAAATGCACAAACCCGACTGTTTACATATTACTGAAACCCCGGTCTCTTTAAAGTGTCCAAATTTTTCAGCCATACCCAGAGCCCCTCAGCCATTAATCATTTCTGAAAACACTGTCTGCAAGCTCCCCCATTGTATTCTCAGTCCTGGTGACTGTGCACACACATACTCCCATGAAATTCAAAGAATGAGCCTGTTTGCTCCTTTTTGTCCATCCCTGCCGGCTTGACAAGGCCAGGCTGGGAGTGCCCAGTGGGATGTTACCATTTCATGTGATTATTTGTTGAGGAAAAGCACGTTTGGACATTGTTTCTGAAAGCCCTTCCCTCCTGCACCTTGAGAACAACACTGCAAGCTGAGTACAGCACATGAACCTTAGATACAGAGCTGAGGAAAAAAAGAAGGGAGGTTAATATGTTGTCCTAGCAACCCTGACTATCTCTTTAAACACAAATTTAATTTTCTGATCAAATGCTGAAAGAAGTTCTTGCAACAGCATGACTATTCCCGAAAGAAAGTGCAAGGTACAAATAAATTACCACCCCCTGTACCATCACAAAGTGTCTTGGCACTGTAAAAAGCGATGTGCTTGAATTTTTCCCTAACAGGTCTATGAATACAATGAAGCAGTGGGAAGATAATAGAGCCCTCGTAGCTGAATGCACATTGGCATCTCTGCTACAGCAGCTGCACCCTTGGAGGGGCCTGAGTGAGCTCAGTGGGATGCTGTGTTCCCCAAACAGCCTGATTTGGGGAGAGAAGGTCATTTCCCAAGGGAAGAAGAGGCTTTGCTTGTCAAGCAAAGGAATTGAGGTGGGGCTGTGGGCTGCTGCACACTCCTCCCATATGTGACCTGCTATTCCTTCCTCTCCTGACACAGGAGGCTGACAAGGTGCTGAACGTGTTGGTGCAGGGCAATATCAGATCCCTGGCTCCAAGAATCTCCTTTGATACCTTTGTCCAGATCATTACCAAGTTTGTACACTGTTTTCTTTGTGCTTCCCCCACCAAACTGTCAGCTCCTGCTAATTGCTAATCACGTCGGTTATTACAGGCACTGCCAGGATTGACCGACGCCGCTGGAGCTGCAGGTCAGGGAATAGACACAATTCCATTTGTCTTCTCTCCAAAGGTTTCACTGCTTGTTACAGTGTTAGTACTGAGGAAAACTGACTGGACTTACACTGGTATAGTCACTTAAAAGAGGGCCTGGGGACACTGAAAGGGCCCTCATGCTGCACAGGAGGGTTTGTCCAGGTTTATTTGCCCAGGTGGGGCTAGCAGGTGTTTGGTAGAAAGACCCAAGTAGACAAGCCATGAATCCAACTTTCATGAGCAAATCTGGGGGTGAGGAAGGGTGTAATAAAAATAAACACTGATGGCACAACTGTGGTTTCAGTGGCAGCATTGCCACCAGTCTGAGAGCTGAAGATCACAGTCCCCATTTTCAGAAGGTCAGCTCTGCCCTGCCAGAGGGAAGGGCTGGAAATTGAGCTGGTGGCAATGTCTGTGCAAATGCACAGCTGGCACCAGGGAGTTAAGCTCCAACCTGCTACACCCACATCTGGAGCCAGCTTAAGGTAAGTGAGAACAGGAAGACACTGCTGGACCTCCAGCTTTGAGCCAGGGTGGGGTTCCCACCTTACCAGTTAAAAAGTGTAATGTGGGACACAGCTGTGTGTCTTTATCAGTGTATGTATGCACAGCTCCAAACAAACTGCAATGTCAATTTACCCTTAGAAAAGGTGGAAAAACCAAAAACAACCCAACAAAGGTATTTTGCACTTCTACCCAGCCCCAGCCTGGCTCAGCTATGGCTGTGCTTGAGCACAAATGCCAAAGAGCTGAGCAGACACTCCAGGGAACCAAAATGGGAGCAGTTTTAACCCAAATCGCAGAAGGGAAGAGCCTGTTAGTGGACATTTTTCTGCTCTATTTCCTGTTGCATATAGTACCCAGATCCCATTGTGATAGAAGCATTAGAAATGCATAGAGAGAGACAGAAACAGGGAAAAGGAGCCTGGATTTAAATATTCAGTGCTAAAGGCACTATATTTTATTTTTGGGAAACGCAGATAAACAGAAGCTCTCGAAGAAAGCTATGTACAGTTTAATAAAGTGCATGCTATAGGATGTCCTTGCAGCACTTTTATTAGCATTAATAGGGTCTAAGCTGTCTGTATGTAAATCATTGCAGATCTAGGAGATGAAATATATCATAAGACCCACAGCCAATTATACTCAGAGAAATCCATGAGCTAATTATACTGCATTGAGCAAAACAAAGATGGGAGAAATATACTGAAAATATTCAGCAAAGACTTGTTATTTGCTGTTAATTGCAATCATAGCACAAGGGTTTGCCTGCTACCTATACTTAAATCCATTTCCAGTAGAAATACGATGGTGTGAAGTGTTCAGAAGAAAAACAATGTAAGAAGTAGCACTTGTCACAGAAAGTTGCAAAGACCATTGACAATGAAGCATAGTACATTTTACTACCAGGGAGATATTTATCACACACATGCTTTTTATATTGGAGCATATAATTTTAGCACTCTTAATGAGATTAAAAAATTAAAAAAAGAGATTTTTTTTCAGTAATCCTGTAACATTTTGACCAAGGGTTTCATTTGCCTAATTCCCAGGGTGCAATTTACTAAATCTTGTGGAGAAGTTAAGAACATTATGTGAACACAATGCAAGGTTTACTTCTTTTGTTGAAACTGTTCCCAGAGCAGTTTACATTAATAATAATAATAATAATAATAATAATAATAATAATAATAATAATGCTGCCCTCTCTATTCCTAAGGAGCTCACTAAATCAGGAGTAAAAACTACAGGTTGGGGGAATTTACTGGTTTAGAAGGGAGTTACTTTTCCCTTCATTTAGCCTGGGAAGTATGAAGATGGTAACAGATCCATATGATAATATTCTGACTGGAGAACACACACATGAATTTTCCTTTCATTTATCTCTCCTTTTATAATGCAGTCAAGAGGTATGCAGGGCTCTGGGTTATAGAACAGATGGCAGAGGGATGGTTTTCCTTAGCTGCATTTATACATTTTTTACTCGGAGAACCCTTGGAGCTTTGAGCTTCTCCAGTGCCTGGCATGCTACAACTCTGCATATGATGATGTGAGCAGGATGAATGATGATGGCTGATGACTGTCATAAAAGGAATTTGCTTGCAAAGCAGCTTTTATGCTCTAAAAAGCCCCTCCGGGATGGAGCTTGGAGTGGATTGATACACTGGTGAGGGAAAATGTCCCAGATCAAAAGGCAATTTATGTTGGAAGATGCAATCCCTTGTTCCTATCCTACCTCAGGAGCACAGGTAGCATTTTCTATGCAGGAACCCTCACCAGCTGTGACAGATACAAATGGGCCATCTGGAAACTGTGGGGTCAGCCACCAAAGCCCCAGGGGATCCTGCAGCAGAGCCAGGCACCTCTCTGGAGCTGCCATCCCTCTGCTTGGCTGTGGCCAGCAAGGACAGGGTGGCCTTGCAGCCCAGCAGTGGCTGGTTGGAGCTCACATCATTGAGGCATCACCCAAAACACTGCAATGTTTGCAGCTCAGAGCCACAACATCCAGAGTCTGACTCTTGTTTCTACAGAGCAATCCCAGAAACAGGAGAAATGGTGCAATTTCAGAAAATGGGGATTTTCTACTGCAGGTTCTGATCTAATAATGAAAATGTTTGAAAATGAATATTGCAACTCTTGAGACAATACAGAGCTATGCCCTTCCAAGCTGGCTTCTCCTCAATGTCACATTTAGAGAGAAAAGCAGTGTTTGCATCCTGATTTTACAGGTAACATCTTAGGGGTCGTGCATCTCCGTCAGGATGTACTGGGCAGCAAAACCATACCCACAAACTTTACTGGTGAACAGAATTTCAAGTGGTGAGCTCCTCTAAGGTACCAGATTTTATCACTGTTTTTCTTCTGTTGATCCAGACCCTTGTGCTCTCAGCACTGCCCTTCCCTGCTGAATTCACAAGCTCTCCTCCCGTGTCCTGGCAGTGACAGAAACCACCAGAGATGCCTGCAGTGCCAGGAGCAGGGCTGGTACAGAGTATGCAGAGCTCTGTGGTCAGAAGATTGGAGGACACCAGTGAGACCATAAATTATACAGCTTTTGGAGCACGACATTGCCAGGAAAAAAAAAGTGTTCCAATGCAGACTGTTTAGAGAAAGTAAAGAAAATGCCTGGAGGCCCAGGAAATGGAGTGTGTAAGGAAAAGCTGAATGAACAAGGACAACTGAGCCTACAGAAGAGAAGAGGTGACTCTAACAACAGTACTCCTGTACTTAATAAACTATATTTAGGGTATTTCATAAGGTGCTGTGGTCTGGGTTCTGCCTGTGCCTGGAAGTGTATCTGGAGAAAGCAAAGCAGGACATTTATCCTCTGTTACATTTTCCTTCCACAGAATGAACCAGAAAATAAATTTCCTTTGAAGTTCTTTGTCTTTCTCTACAGCATATGGAGTCAAAAATGCCCTTTAAAAAACACTTAGTTTACCAAATCTCCCACAGAATAGTATGCAACATTTGCACTTACATGACCTGGGGATACTTAGACTTGATTTTTTTGTTTTATAAAACCCATTATAATTATTAATGAACACATAAAATAATGTAAATGATAAGCAGTAAGTGTCTTTTATTATTAAGCTCTTAGCTATTTTGCCCATTAAGAAAACCAAATTAAAATAATTGAAGATTAT